CACACACACACACACTCAGAGTTTACCAACCTCGGGTGAAACGGGTTGTCGCTGTTGTCCATGTTGTACGATGTAGTCTGTCGGCCGGTCAGAGACAGTAAGCTTGCGGTCGGTCCGTCTTCAGCAGAGACGCTTGCTCAGTCAGCTGTTTGTTTCCATCTCCAGCTGGTTGGAGGTCAAAGGTCAAACGCCTCCCCTTTAAAAGCACAACTGGAAACTTGCAGCAGAAACTTGACGATTGAAATGAAAGAAGAACTAATATAATGAAACGTCTCTGCTTTAATCTTTTTTTATTAGTGTTTTGCAGTGTAATAGATATGTGTCTCTATGAAACAGCAGAATTATATTAAATATGTTATATAATGATCAGAAAATATAATTTAACAGTTCAGTGAAATACAAAATAACTCCAAATAGTCCCAAATGAAACACAGGGGGCAGAACCAACCTTTAATTAAGTGTGTTATACAGGAAATAAAACACATGTGAAATCCTCTTTTTAACTCAAATAAGAAACATCTGTGAAACATATTTACATATTCATGTCTAATAATGTTTCACAGATGTTTCTGACCGACTGTTTATTTGTTGAGGTCAATACGACGAAACATAGAAAATAAAAAATATCCTGAGCAAACTTTGGATTCATTTACAGACACTAAATCTGAGTTTATTTTATCTTCTTTATCTATGATTTAACAAATGTTTCCATTTAGATTTCCACCAAAACCTCCAACAACCTCCAACAAACCAGGTTGAGGAAGTTAAATATGGTGTGTGGCCGTGGTTGCTTCCACCAGGGGGCGCTCAAACACACACTGCTGTACTCACTGTATGGATTCTATAGATCAATAGATCGATAGATAGATTACAGATTTCACATTATAATCACTTCGGTGATTGTTTTTATTTTTCATCTTGGCAGGAATCGGCTTCCATACAATAATAAAAAACTTTTTTTCAATATTTTGAGATACTAAGGTATTAATTGGGGAACGTTTCTCATCATTTTAATAAAGTCTAGTTCAGTTTCTCATTTTAATAACTTGCTACTTTTTTTTCATCTTGGCAGAAATCGGCTTCCATACAACAACTTTTTCAATATTATTGACTTATTATCGCAAAATAATAAAAAACGTTCTCATTATATTGAAATATTAAGTCAATATTCTGAGAAACTGTCATTATAATAAATTACAGAACTTTTTTCCCGCACTTTGGCACTACTGGGCTTCCATACTTTTAAACTCTTTTATTTATTTCCGTCGTTTCACGGAAAACCCCGACTGTCACCGAGCTCAGGTGAGTCATCTCCGTCACCTCCCGGAGGTGAGTCAGCAGGGGCGCGTCGGCGGAAGCTGCCGCGCCATATTTGGATTGTGAGCAGCGATTGGCGGGCGGCGCGAGGACGGGCGGGGCGCTCGCGCTCACACTGAGACTCCAGGAGCGCGAGAGGAAGAGGAGGAAGTTTTTGGAGACGAAGAAGAGACGAGACAACCGACCATCTACGGTTTAACCGGTGAGTTTGTTGTTGTTTGTTGTTGTTTGTTGTTGTTGTTGTTGTTGCTCCACGCGCTGTTTCTCGAGGTGTTTTTACCTGTTTGAGGTTAAAAAAAGAGGCCCACGCGCCACACACCGTCCCCAGGTGTGTGTCTGACTTCCTGTTTATGTCGGGTCGAAATGAAAAACGTAAAACTGACAAAACGTCATTAAATCGATCCGTGGATCAATAATGTTATTAGTTTAATGTTGAAGTGTAACAGTTTCCTGTTAGGAGTTAAAGTTACTGTGAGTTTTATTTAATGCTGACAGGATTACTCAATCAATCGATCAGTTCGATCAGTTCGATCTCCTGGGATTATTTAAAGTCATTAATTTGGTTAAATTCAAATCTTGTGTTATTTTTAATATTAATGTGTTGATTTAATCAGAACAATAATCAATATTTGTTCTATAAAACCCCAAAATGAAGCCAACTCCTGAATAGAACATCACTTAGTAAATCAATAAATATTTTTAAACACATATCAAATACTAAAATGTGGCCATAACAGATCAATAAATGTCAGTTTATTATTACATTTTTAAATTACTCAAATTTTGACCCCCTTCTTGGCTCCGCCCCTTTTGACTGTGATTAATCACATTAATCGATTAATCGATTGACACAAAACAAATCCTTTCCATCTTTTTTCCAAATAATTCGATTTCCTGCTTTTTCAGTTGTACGCACTTTTAATTTCTGTTGGACTAAAGAGCAGATCCGAACACCAACCGTGATCTTTTGGGATATTAAATATATAGCATATATATTATATTTGACCACGTTATTTTAATTTAATCAATGATCGCAGGTTGATCAGGTTGACAGGCTGGGATATTTGATCCGTCAGCGGCTGCGCGCGCGTTCTCCCTGGCGTCCCGTGTTGGTGGGAATCAGCTGTAAATGGAGGCAACATTGAATCCTCGATGGTTTTTAACCGTCGTTAAGAGTTAATGTTATTCTGTGGGCTGTAAACAGGAAGTGACAATACACATTGGGTTACAGGATAAACATTATTGTCACGTTTAT